CTTTTTCTTCAATTCTTGTTGATGTTTATTTTATATTGTTTCATTTTCTTTCTTTTTTGGCATGGTGGGTGGGATTGCATCTGCAGATTGAATTACTCTTTGGAAGTAAAGCCTGCATTGAAATGCGGGAGGCCGCATTGAGTTTAACGATGCGACTAGCAGAAACGGTTCAAGAGACCTTCGTTGATTTTGAAGAAGCTGTAGAAAAAGATGCTACCAAAACCACTGTTCTAGACGGAACCGTCCATCCTCTGACTAGCTATGTGATAAATTATGTGAAGTTTCTCTTCGAGTAAGTTAATGTTGCTACATTTTCTAGTTTCTTTTCTGGTGAAGTTTGTCAAGTTTATCATGTCATCTTTTTTTAATGTACTTTTCTCAAGTCTACTGCTTGTTCATTTGGTTAATGATATCATAAGATCTGCTGGTAAGCTGATCTACAGGGCCTTATATATAGTTCCGCTTCATTAAATTGGTTGTATTTTGACCATCTCTCCTTTTCTGCTTCAACTGTCTGTCTACCTGTTCTTATCTGAGCTTCTGCATTTCAGTCTTCAGCGCTCCAAGTTATTTAAGCCTGGCACACTAGTGCCATACTTTATCTCTTACTGCTCTCTGCACTCCACTTGCAAATTTCGTGCATCTGATGGTCTTTTAATTTTCGCAGTTACCAATCTACTTTGAAACAGCTCTTTCGAGAGTTCGATGCAAGTGATCCGGATGCTCTGTTAGCATCTGTAACAACAAGGATTATGCAGGCTCTTCAAAATAGCCTAGATGGGAAATCAAAGCAGTATAGAGATCCTGCTCTGACTCAATTATTTCTTATGAACAACATTCACTATATAGTGAGATCCGTGCAGAGGTTTGTTTCATATTTCTCGTGTTTTATATAACAAGGGTTGATGCTCTGTACATGCTCTGCCTGCCTGCCACCTTCTAACATCTATTTGCAGGTCAGAAGCGAAGGATTTATTGGGTGATGATTGGGTGCAAATACACAGAAGGATAGTGCAACAGCACGCTAATCAGTACAAGAGAATTTCCTGGGCAAAGGTTTGTTTCTTTAACTAGACTTGCCCTGCATCAGAATCCTTGTTTCCTTTGACTATGATGCTGGGGACATCACTCGAACCCACTAATATTGTCCTTCTAGGATTGTTCTTTGCTGACATGTTTACTTGGCATAAATATGGACCCATTTGTTGATTCTTTCTGTGAATTTGTATTTAATTATCTCATTACAATTTCTCAATGGAACTTTTGTTTGCCTACATAAAAATTACAACAGCCTGATACATGCTGAATGAATATCTACGGCATCCCTTTTTTACATATCAATTTGTATAACATTAAACTTTCCTTGAAGGTGTCCTCATGTGCATCGAAGATTGATATCCTTTTTTTTACTTCATTTACGATTGACAATTGCGCTTGTGAGTGGCATGAACTAGTAGTTACCCAAAATTGTATTCGACTATATGGTTTCTAGTGATTTTTTTTTTTTTATCTTAGTCAATAAGAAGTCATGCTAAACAGCTTGTCTTTGAAGTGCAGATCCTGCAGTGTCTCTCTGTTCAAGGTGGTGCATCGGGCGGTGGCACTGCAATGGGAGCTGATGGCAGTGCCAGTGGAATTTCAAGAGCAATGGTGAAAGATAGATTCAAGACCTTCAATGCTCAATTTGAGGAGCTTCATCAAAGACAATCTCAGTGGACTGTTCCAGACAGCGAGTTGCGCGAGTCTTTGAGGCTGGCTGTTGCTGAAGTTCTCTTGCCTGCATATAGGTCATTTCAAAGGCGTTTTGGGTATGGTTTTCATCCTTGGGACCTGCTTCCTCCTCTTTCTCCTGGCTTCTACTTATCATCACATTTTAAAAGAATCCATCCTTTCTTTCTTTTACTCATAGCACAAAGATACACTGTTTTGTATGTTACAGGCCTATGGTTGAGAATGGAAAAAACCCTCAGAAGTATATTAGGTACTCTCCTGAAGTCCTTGATCGCATGATGAACGAGTTCTTTGAGGGTAAGACATGGAGCGAGCAAAAACGGTAAACATTTGCGAGAAAGATTTAGGCATATAATAGGTGGCTTGATATATCCATGATCCACATTAGGCTTGTATTCTTCTTTAAGTTTTGCTGTTATTTCCCAACTACTGAGTCCTGAGTATGTTTCATTCAAGGCATGTATGTACTAAGCACACTTCACCAACAAAATGTACAACCTACCTCCTATGGGGGGGGGGGGGGAAAAAAAACAAAAAAAAAAAATTAACAAACGAAAACAAAACATTTACACTCTCTCCCCTTTGCTTTTCTTCCTTTTTCTTGTTTCGGTACAAATCACCAACTGGTGGGGAACTCCAAAATCACATACAATCCGTTCCAGTTTCCCGATAGTGAAGTTTTGCACATCAGCCCTCAGCCAAAAAAATTTGGCTGGTCACCATGCTCTCGCTCCTTGTGATTGATCGGTGCCTTCTCTTGCTTTAGCAACAGATGAACAATTTCGGGGGGTCAAATATTATCAAATGGCCAACCAGATCTTCTAGATAGGTTTATATATGGGTTCGTCGTCGTGCCGTGCCTGCTGCTTAACAATGCGTAGCTGTGCTAGCAAGTTTCTTTCCAACTAAAAATGGTACTAGAACATGTATCAGTCCTTATCCTACAGCTAGAGTCAAACATACTTCTCTTCAAGCCTAAAAAATTATATCCTGAAACGGAGTTACTTAACGATTTTGAAGCTAATGACCAAAATGATCACCAATTCTTCCTGTTAATTTCTAGTTACCTCTCTAATTTATAGTCCCTGTCTTCTTCAGGTGATTCAATCCAAAAATGTGAAACCTATGCTAATCCTGCCCCGCAACTTCCCATCAGCGCCAACCATCCAATATACCCTTCAGAGTCCAACAACGAGTCCTCGAGCATCATCCAAATCCTTCTTCTCTTTCTTCCCACCTTAGTTTCAACAATAATAATCCTTAATTCATCAGCAAACATGTTCATGATGTATTCTGATCTTGACCCCGAATCACCCACAATCTAATTAAATTCTCCCCTCATTTCAAATCTTGCAATCTCGTGAACAAAGATATGGAACTTGTTTGTTATTGTATTTTAAAAGATTTTTTTTAAAAAAATTATATTTATCTTTGCTTTAAATTATTTTGTTATGTATAAAATTATTTTGATGTATTGATATCAAAAATAAATTTAAAAAATAAAAAATATATTTTTAATATATTTCTAAATAAAAAACACTTTAAAAATAAATATTATCATTATACCAAACAGAATTGCAATAATGTTTTGCCAGATCTCACAATCTTTAATCCTAACTTGAGTTCGGATATTTCCTTGGAAGACATTGATGGTTACTCGCATCTTTTATAAACAAGATATGCTCTTTTGTGTAGCGTTTGATGTAATGATCTCCAACCTGGATGAAATCCAGTAGAGTTGCTGACAGGAATGAGAAGAAGAATAGTGACTTTCAATGCTCAACCATGAACACTGAAGAGGGTGGTTAGCAGTTAAAATTTGAAACACTAACTTCTTCTGCTTCTGCTTTGCTAGTAACACAACCACCCTTCTCTTTCTACAAACCATCCTCCTCCTTCTTCTCCTCCTCCTTTCCATGTACATGCAACATTGTTAAAGCCTTTTTCTTTCCTTTTCCAGCGAATCCCTTCGTGTTTTGATTGGATTTTTTTCAGGTTTTTTATTATATTATTCTAGATTAATTTTTTTTAAAACTTAAATCAGCCTAAACCAATAATAACCTAAAGCATGTGTCAACAAATTTGGTCGAGCCAAGTTTTTAAATGGTTATTTTTTACATATGATACTTCTAATCACTACATAAAATCATAAATTTAAAAAGTTAATATGCATTAACATTATTTTTTTTAATTACATTTGAATTTATTTTAAAAAATAAATTTCTTTATGTTCTTCAATTTTCTTTTCAATCAAGTTATTTATATTTCATGATCTAGATGAGGGTTTATCTAAATGGTTTAAGTTTTTATTAAAATTAATTTTTTTCTTCAGTTTGTTAATTTTTTTTTTCTTTAAAATACAATGATCATGCTTTAACATTGTTTTTTTATGTTAAAAATAATTGGAATTGGCCTAGCCCATGGTGAAACAAGAGTCATTAATCTAGTAATAGCTAAAAAGCCTTAATCTTTCGTTTGGAATTTAGGTTGAATTTACTTTTCATCAAAATTTAAAAAAATTATTTGAAATTAGTTTTTTTTAATATTTTTTAATTGTTTTGATGTGCTGATGTTAAAAATAATTATTAAAAAATAAAAAATATATTTTTATTTATTATTTTTAAGCAAAAAATATTTTGAAAATGAAGATTTATATATTGCATTTCCAAACACTATTAGTAATAGTGAGGATGAATATGAATGCTTTTAATATTTCCTGATATATATATATATATATATATATAGAAAAAAAAAGTAGCGGCATTTTTATTCAACCATTTGGATTTTACTTTATAAAGAATAAAATATATGGGATTCTTCTCAAAACATAGACGAAACAACAAGAACGAGTGTCTTCTTACAAACGTTTATTGGATTTGATTTCTGTTTTTATTTGCAGACAATGCATCTCTAAATCTCTTGGAATCTTCGTATCATATCAATATATATAGCTGGAAATCGCGTGCTAGTGTTTGTCTAACCTAATTAGATAGTTATATTTGACTGCCAAAGAAAGAAAGGAAACCCGATACGGCAAAATACATCAATATCAACGACATGGGAACCTATTCCATTTGTCTATTTTAGCTTAAAATTAGTATGCAACAAACCCTTCATACGCGCTAATGCCACCCACAATTCTCTGTTCTCTTCTTGTTTTCTCCTAATTGGTTCCATCCCCCAAGATTAAATTCTCTGCCTCCCACTGATCTCTCTCTCTCTCTCTCGTTCTCCCGGGAATTGTTCGAGGAGAGAGATCATTGATCACTATGGCTTCTGAATCAAGTCAAAATCAACAACACAACAAAGGAGAATATCAATCATCCGAAGGCACCCATCATGTTCCACCTTCAGCAAGCCATGATCTTTATCCAGGGGCAGGATGTCCTCCAGCAATGGGTTATCCTCCTTCAATGGACTATCCACCACCACCACCAGGGCAATATCCAGGTTATCCACCGCCAGGGCAATATCCAGGTTATCCACCGCCAGGTTATTATCCCTACGCACAAGCACCACCTGCAGCAGCCTATTATCACGCAACAGTACATCAACAACAAGGATATGAAAGGTCATCAGGTTTCTCACGATGCTTCCTTACAACGATAATATTCTTAACGTTGTTAATATTTACGTCAAGCATCATTATGTGGCTTGTATTGCGCCCTCAACTTCCTGTTTTTCACGTTGACAACTTCTCGGTATCGAATCTTAATGCTACCTTGCCTACCTTCACGGCTAACTGGGAAGCGAATTTAACAGTTCGAAATCCGAATACCAAGTTGAAAATAGAATTTAGTGAATTACAAAACTTTGTGTTTTACGAAGAAGATTATCTTCTTGCTTCAGCTATAACTTCCCGGCCTTTCTCCCTGGAAACAAAGACGAGCGATGTAATAAATGCCAAGCTATCAGAGAATAACAAGGATAACCCGGTGGAGAACTGGGTGGTGGATAAATTGGCCAAGGAAAGGAGAAATGGATCCGTGAGTTTTAATTTCAGGATGCTGGTTTGGACTACGTTTAGATCAGGTTTATGGTGGAAAAGGCATTTAAGCATGAAAGTTATGTGTGAGGATCTTCAGGTGACTTTTGTGGGTGCTTCAGGTAATGGGAATATTGCAGCCGATGGACATAGGGACTGCTCAGCTTTTGTCTAGTTAATTTGCATGTCACAGAAAGGAAAAGGTAAAAAAGAGTCGCCATATGAAAACGGATTTCTTTCCTCTTTCAATTTCCTCTTAAGCTTCTTAGTTATCATCCATGGATGGATGTATTATTTTGAGATTCTGGAATCACTAGAAAGATTAGTAGCAAAAGTGACAAGCTCCTTGTGATATATAGAAGAAGAATCTTTCCCCTTTCTCTTCTTTTATTTTCCTGGTTGTTTTTACACAATATATGCGTTCCAATTTATAATGAATGGTAATGATTTTAGTGCATGAATATTGCTTGTTTGATATCGTGATTATGATTAGTTTTAAATAATTTTTCATATTAAAATATATGTTAATAATATTTTTATATATTTTAAAAATTATTTTTAACATCAATATATTAAAATAATTTAAAAACATTAAAAATATATTAATTTAAAATAAATAAAAAATAAATAAATAATTTTTTTTAAAAATATTTTTAAAACATAAAAATATACAGCCTACTTGTGTACATTAACTTAGGAATTTGAAAGGATACAACTTAAAATTTTATACTCCATGCGTGGAACAGTATTTTTTTAAAAAAATAATCTCAACATTTTTCTCTCAAAAAATGAAGTGTTGCCAGGTTGAAAATAGATGATACACAGTTAAAAAGGGCATAGAAAGACATAGAAACTTTTTGAAATCAAGGAATATGTATCTTGTTATGTTTGGTAACAAAATCAAAAAGAGTGTGGAATGAAGGAATTAATAATATACCCAGTCACAATTGCCCCAATTACATGCTAGTAGAAATTCTAGTATTAAAAGAAAATTTATTGAACTAAACTATTTTTGTAAAAATAAAATAGCTCCCTTCCATCATAGCCCAAGTATAACCCGTTGCACATGTGATGTAGATAAAAATTTCAAAAGTAAATTAAGCTTTTAATAATTGTGTTTAATATTTATGATGAGGGTTTAGATTAGATAAAAATCTGAAGAGATATGTAGCTAATAATCATTATAATTGCAAATTAAAACAAAACCTAAAGACCTATGCAGGACACAAAAATGGAGAAGAAACATGTATATATATATATACATACATACATATATATATATATATATATATATTTGTTCAATTGGTATATATCTTCATCTTAACTTGAACATCCATTAAAAACTAAGTTATATATTTCAAGTGATTTTAAAAATATACTCTTAACAGATATGGTACATGTAAAGATTAAAAAAAAACTAAAAAGGAAGAAAAATTTATAATGTACATAGACACATTTTACTATTTACAATCATAGTGTAATTATCATTTTATTATTATAAAAAAATCAATGACCTTCATCTTAGGGTATTTCAGTTTTTTTGGCATGGTCCATTAATCATTAAAGTATTGACCAGGAATATACAATCTTTTGTAATTTTTAAACAGAGTAAAATAACTTAACTAAGTCATGAAACTAAAAAACATGGGTGTTTATATCTTTTTACTTTTTAAAATAAGATAAACTAACAACTTTACCCTTGAAATAAAAATAAATAAAACAAGTGCCCATGAACATTTTGATCTTTTCACTATTTTTTAATGTTATTATCAGTTTTATAGAGGGGAATTTGGTCTTTTTAAATATTATTTTAATAAAAAAAATTGTTTGCATGTGCAAAGAACGCACTAATATGTAGGAAGTGCCTTCACATTTTGGGTGGTGAGTGTAGCGTCTTCTTATAGTAAAAGGAGTCCTCCCCTGGTGTCATTGAAATTGCCTTCGCATGCTCTTTATATTGGTGCAACGTGCTTCGACAATGATGAGATAATTTGTTGTTGATGAGATTTTTTTTGTTTTTTTTTTCTTTCTCCTATCCTAGAAATTACAGCTTGATCCTCTTTGTTGTTGAAATTTCAACTTAAGTCCTTATTCTTTTGATTTTTATTTTTTATTATTAGTCTTTTTGTAAAAGTTTTATTTCTTTTCAAGTTTATCCTTCAATCCCAATTTGTTATTATTTTGTTTTTCAATTAGGTCCTTTTTTTTGTTTTTTTGGACCTTTTGTTAGAGTTATTTTTCTTTTTTATTTCACCCTCCAATAAAAAAATTGTAGTTTCCATCTAATGTATTTATATTTATATTTTTATCATTATTCTTTTAATTACTATAATTTATTTTGGATTCTTTTATATAATTGATTTTCCTCATATTTCATCATTTAACGTTTGATTTCTTGGAAATTGGATTTTATGGTGTTTTCATGCATGTTATTTCCAATCTAATGATCTAAGTCATATATTTGAAAAGTTAACGAGGGTTAACATTTTTTTTAGCTTAATTTTTTTTTTATTATTATTTGATATTATTTAAAAAAACTATTGGCAAATTAGAGCTCGACAGGTTAACCCAACTTAATTAATTGAATAAAAATATTGTAATATAGTTTTCTTCTATTTCTTTCCTATTAGGTTATTCCAACTTAATTACATGTGATGCAGGTTTTGACATGTTAACTCGGACTGACTCAATATTACATATTTATCATATTAACTTGAGTTTTTTTTTGTTTTTTTTTATCTAATTTTATCATTCCATATTTAATTGATTGAAAATTAAATTACATTATTTTTTTTGCTCTTGATAAATGATTTATTTCTCAAGTTAACATGATATTTTTAATTTTTTTCATCTAATTAAAATAAAATCAACTTATTTGACAAATTAGGGCTATAATATGAGAGTAGAGTTTTCTTCTTTATTTAAAACATGTTCACAACTCCTAGATATTATTTTTTACAATAAAAAAGGTGCATACAACATAGGAGGTCTAGTTATATTATATATAAAGCTAAAAGATCTCAGTAAAATAGTGTTTTACTATGCATTTTGCATAATAAAATTACTATTTCATGGTAAACCAACATAAATAACTTGCTTTGATAGGCAAGCAGTTCAATAATTTTATAATTATGAATTCCAGCAATGTTTATCATGGAAAACTCATTGAAATCTTGCGACTTACTGAACAAAAACTAATTATCTTTTTTTTTTTTTATGGACGTGTGCCCTCCACCACATTTCCTTTTTTTTTTTGTACACCTTAGGTTTTTCAAATCCATGTCTTTTTTTGTGAGCTAAAATGGCAGAGAAAAAAAGAGAGTGAGTAGGTAAACTAGACATATGTTGAAAGAGGAATGGAAAACTCATTAGAGAAAGAAGAGGTGTAGAGAGGAGGCCTTGCTCTTGCATCACCGGGACATGGTACTGTTGAAAATGTTTATTTCACAAGTTTTTTATAAGACAAACCAACATTGGTTACGGACATGGTGGTGTTGAAAATGTTTATTTCATAAGTTTTTTATAAGCCAAACCAACAAAAAAAAGAGAAGGTATATAGGCACTGAATCGAAAAAATATAGAAAACAATAGCTATTTTTTAAAAGATAATGATTCCAAAAGAGAGTTTTCTCTTACATCGTTGATGTGGAAGATGATGGTGTTGTTGGTGATGCTTCTATAGTGGGATGGATTTTGTCTAATGAATTTGGTGTAAAAATATAGAGAATTTAAATGATTTTGTCTAATGAATTTTGTCAATTTTGATTCTTCATCTTTTCTACTTGAATTTTAGCTGGGGTTTGTTTATAATATCTTTGTAAGAAGTTATCTCTTGGTGGATTTTTTTTTATTTTTTATTTTTTAAATATTTATCTTATCATTTTCTTCGCATGTTATTTAATGTTTGAACTTGCTGTATTAATATAAAAACTTGAAAAGGAGTAGAAATTAATTTGATTTAAGGTAAAACTCTAAAGTTTTATATAAATCTTTTAGACAACATACATATCTCATTTTAAAATAGTTGAAATGTTGATAATTTCACCAACAATCAAATGATATAAACTGAAGTATAGAAAACGATCGATAGAATGTAATTCACTTGGTATTCTTGGTATGCATAAGAATAGACATGTGTTCATTTGGTTATGAAAATATCTCATTTATAAGTAATTAAATTGGATCAAAGAAAACATGCCTTCCCTTGATGTTCTATCTTCAAAAATAAATTATATTCACAAGAAGTTTAGAGTTTATTAATCTCTCCCAAAGTCATCCAACTCAACATGGAAGAAGTAAATCCTAACTAATGTTTTCATGTCTTCTCAACACAAAATTCATCAATAATACATGTTTTGGTGAACGACCATTCTAATTCTCTACATTTGGTTAAAGAAAACGGATCTTTTCTGTTGAATTTTGATAAATTTAGAGTCAAAAGAACAACTTTTCTTTGGAAATGATGAGAGCCTTTTATTATTCATAAAGATGCCTAACTAAGATTTCAAGCAAATCTTTATCAAATGGAAGTGCCCAAGTTTTTGTAATGAATTTCCCTGGAAATTCATGACACGCCGGTGTGCATGCTCAACCAGTTGTTGTTCCTTGTTTACAAAAGAGTTACATGTTCTTCAGCAAATATTGAAGGAAATCAAATAGTGGATCAATATTTGCATTAAACGTTGTGTTGCTCAAGCATACTCAATATTATTCTCCACATGAGTGAGTCTACCTTTCAGTTCCCTATCATCTTTAAAGATTTAGTATATGAAGAGTTTAAAAGAAAAGTGGAGAGACTGCTAGAATTTATCTTATTAATTTACTGTGATGATCATGCCCTATACCTTCACAGTAAATGGAAGTTTAATGTGTCCTTTTTTATTTATTTTTTTTAATATCAGCCAGGAGAACCTCATATCCCTTTCAAAACTAGAAAAAAAGATGAGCAAAATAGATGTAACTGAGGACTACCTCCCAAAGCACAATGAAAGTATATTTATTTTTGTTGCCATGGAAAGTGACACCCTTGAAAATTAAGTACCCGATTCACGACTACACACACCTGTTTTGTAATATTAAGAACTTTTTTCTCAATCCATTGTAATCTTTTGATTAAATTTAATTCAGTTGTTTTATTTTTATTGTATGTTTTTATTATATGTAATTAAATAAAAAAAAATTAGTTCAGGTCCAATTGAGTTTATTATTGGAAGATCTGAAAGATTAATATGAATCAATTTAATATATTATTATTTTAATATTTAATTTAACTTTTTAAAATTAAATTATTTTTTTATTAGTTATTTAAATTATATTTAAATTTGTCATATTTAATATTTAATTTAGCTTTTTAAAATTAAATTATTTTTTTATTAGTTATTTAAATTATATTTAAATTTGGCATATTTAAAATTTAATTTAGCTTTATAAAATTAAATTATTTTTTTATTAGTTATTTAAATTATATTTAAATTTGTCATATTGATAAGGTTATTTTAAAATAATTTATGTAATTTAATTTGAAATCATGTTACAAAATGATTAAATTTATAGGGTTTGAAGGTTAATTAGTTCAGCTGGATTTTGATTAAAATCTTTCTTGCAGTTGAAAAATACATTAAAAATATCTAGAAATCTTTTTTAATATTCAAGATTTTTTTTTGTCCGAGGTGCGTGTAGCATTGTCCAATCATTTTGTTTTATCCTTGACTAGGGTGATTATTTTCAGTTCGATTCTATTTTTATAAAAAAAAAAGTAACCAAACCGAAAAAAAATTGGAAAAAAAAACCAAAATCGGGTCAAACCAACCGGTTTCGGTTCGGTTTGGTTTTTTAGGGAAAAAACCCGTTCAAACCGGTTTGGCTCGGTTTTTCTCAGTTTTGTCCGGTTTGGCTCAGTTTTTTTCCGGTTTTTTCGGTTTCGGTTTGGTTCAGTTTGGTTTTTTGGTTATAAAACCAAAACCAAATCGAACCGGCCAGTTTTTTCAAAATTTTAATCAGTTTAATCGATTTTTTTTTAGTTCGATTTTTTTTTTTATTTTTTTTCTGATTTTCTCAATTTAATCGGTTTCTCAATTTTTTTTCTCACCCCTACCTCTTACGTTCTAAAAGCATCAGTTAATGTTAATAAAAAATGATGGGACCGTAATTAATATTGTGTAATTCTAACTGTAATGTAATGTGGTTGAGTTTTCTTTTTTTAAATAATAAAATAAAAGCTTTTTTATTGTGAGCAGAATTATATACTGATTATTTTTTAAAATATTTTTTATTTAAAATATATTAAAATAATATTTTTTAATTTTTAAAAATTTAATTTTTTATGTAAGTATAAAAAAATAATATAAAAATTAATTTTCTTAAAAAAACTTGTTCAACATCTGTGCTGCATTCCCAAATGGGGCAAAAACAACGAGTGTGTGTGTTTCAAAGTTAAACACAAACGTGCACACATAGCCTAAGACCAGGCCCAAACTGAAACCACACTTAACATTGCCCAATTACACCACAAGGAAAAACTACAAATCCAAACACCAGGAAGAAATACAGAAGAAAAAAAGGCACTTGCTTGGATTCCCTCCCTTGGTCGCTACCTGCCGATGACTCAGCTGACGCCGTTTCTTGAAGACAAAACGAACCGAGTCATTTTGCTGAGCTTGGACGCGGGGTGATCCGTGATTTTTGAACGCGGAAGCATAGAGGGACTACGCTAACGTGACCCGATTACAAGAATATTGGGACCTGTTTTCGGAGGGTGGATCACAGAAATGTGAGTTTTCTTACGACACATTGATTTTCTTTTTTTCTTATAGCTGTAGAAGAAATGAGGTTTTTTGTTTTACATCTTTTTTCAAACTGTCGATCATATTGTTCATATTCTAGTTAAAATGCACAGTTTTTCTACTTCTTAGTGTCGATGGTTGAGATGGGAAGCATTGCATTTACTTGGCTGTAAGGATTTTTTGGTTTCTTTCTCGATTTTTCCGTAGATTTTTAAATATATGTATGTGATTTTTATATTACCAAGTCGAGTGTTTCAATCAGGCCACGGATTTCTTAGGACAGTTTTTTGCTTGATAAATAGAGTTGTTCTTTAAGATGCCTTCTAGTTTTCTGATCAGAGTGTTTTGTTGAGTTGAGGTTTGGAGGAAAGGCCATATTCTTGTTTATGAACACCTCAGGTGTTCTTTGACCTTTTGAAAAGACATGTCTGCTTTCTTTAATGTCTTCGAATCTGCCTGTGTCTTGGTTTGGAGGAAAGGCCTAATTTAGAGTGAAACTAATTTATCTGATTGATCATTTGTGTATGATATCAAACATCATGGTAAAGTTAGCATATAAACTGCGTCTTTTAAAATCATATAAATTTCTTAGTTTTTAATTTGACTAGCATTTTGTATCTCCTGTTTATTCTTATGTAGGATTTTTGAATTTTGTCTAAGGCTCTAAGCTTGCTAATGCTTGACATTGGAGTGTGTACAAGTTATGTTATCTCTGTTTCATTGATCTCGATCTCTTCTGAGCCCTATGCTCTGCTACCGTATGATGGATTCAATGCAGTTGCTTCTGTAACAGCTGGTAGATTATCTCATTAGATAAAAAAGTTAGGAGCTTGCTTGATTCATGAAAGAACCTGTGCCCCACTTTCTGAAATGTGTGTTGGAACACTTTAAATAGCTCCTAAAAAGTTCCTAACATTGTTGTTCCTCTTTACTCTAATGATCTGGGTTCTACAAAACACAAAACATGCATATTAATCAACATGTAAACAAAAAATCAACATGCAGTACTTGTTGATAGAAAATAGACTTGAAGAAGTAGATTGAGGCAATGATCAATCATCTGGTCTTAAAACAATTTATTGTTTGCTCTTTAGTGCTAGTAATGTGATTGCATTATTGTTTCTTGGGCTTACTTGATCTCATATTCTTGGCAGCATAACCAAGAATAAACAGCGAATCAAAATTTATATGTTACTTTCTGGAAGAATTTTGATAGAAGGAATACAAAAGAGAGTTTTAGAAAGACTTGAAGTTTTCTCATTATTAAAACCATGTCATAATTGTCTCTTTTTACAGGCAATTTTGACAGTTAAAAACGTAACTTTTAAAACAAAAGGATACAACTTTCTAGTTTAAAAGGACACAACTCTATTTAAAGTAGAGTTTAACAATCTGATCTTTGAATAAGTAGAATCGGTCTTGCTCTACACTTTATATTATCGCTTTTTGTTTCTTGTGAAACCAAAATTTGTCGACGAGTTATAGCTTTTTCCGCCACATTTTTTCTTGTTGCTGATTGTAGTTTTGTTTTAATATTAAATACCTAGGTATGTTATAATGATGATTTTTTGACAAGGATGATACTGTGATGGAGTCAAGGTTGATTTGTTTGTTGCTTGTTGTTGAATGATTGTCGATCATTTTAACATTCTAAAATGGTTTTGATAGTATGGAATATGTTGGGACAATTCCAAACTCACCTCGATTGTTATGTATAGTCTTACTCCAAGATGCATGTTGTTCTGATTTCTTGAATATGGATGAAGATAAGTCCTTGTAGAAGCCCACAGCTGATATGTATGGTTAGTTTTGTCCACATGAACGGATACAAGCTTTGGCCACAGTGCTAGCTAGGTAAGTAGAAATGGCTTTAGCCTGCAAGACTCCGTGATTTTTAAAACACTCACTCTTTTTCAATATTTGTTCCAGTATTTCATTTTTTATTATAAACTCCGTGATTTTTAAAACACTCTCTCATTAACAGTAATTGTTCCAGTCGTTCATTTTTTATTTTAATCTCCGTGATTTTTCCTTCACTCACTCTTTTTCAATATTTGTTCCAGTATTTCATTTTTTATTTTAAACCTATTTAGATTATCTAAAATTCTAATTTTTCTTCTTAATTTCAGTTTGCATTGAAGGGCATATATATGGGTCTTCTGATTACTACATTTCAAGAGCATAACTGCATGAAGATCTGAAGTTTGGGTTAACCCTTGCCTGCTGCTGTAGAAGCTTTGCTTCTAATTTAGTGATCGCCTCATGACTATCATTTTAAGTTGCTTTTTAATAGCCCTCACATGAACTGGATTGTCTTGAAGCATCCTTTCTATGGTAATTGTTCCTTCCTGAAATCAACCTGCTATCTGTCATATAAGTACTAAAATTTGATCTGTTGAGCACTTGAGAGTCAGATGGCCTAAGGACATTTACTGAAGTGGAGATCTGTGTGAGTTGCGAATATTTATATTAATTTCCTTGCCTTCTTTTCAGTTGGTTGACGAGGCACCATGTGGTTTTGGTGCATTGTTGGGCATTCTCCGATGTAAGCGTCTTTCAGGATGCTGCTATGTCTATACAGGATTGCAAGGGAATGCTTTATTTGTTGTGTACTATGATGTTATGCCTAATGAAATCCTTGGCAGAAAAAGGAAATCAATATAATTGAAACAGCGAGGATCATGAATTAATCTAGATTTAGGACGTCCACGTTAAGTGTGTAGCAATTTTATGGATCACTTGATTGTTGTGATTGATATGTGCATACTGCATAGGCTATTCATCTGCATATCCAATTGATATTACGGAACTTGAGGGACAAAGTTGTTGTACATGGATCATGTTGCTGGCTTAATCTTATGATTTACTAGGAAACATTAAGGTGGAACTTTCCTCTGGTGTATGATCTGGTCTTACTGGTTGGAAGATCTCACTCCTTATTTGTAGGTTGGTGCGCATGTATCAGATGGTGTAGTGATATAAGCAACTGTTGATCAATGTCCTCGGGCGTGCCAGATCGAGGTCTTTGCATGCTGGAAGTTTGGGTACTAGTCACACCCTAGCATCAAAGCATATATTTGAGGGGTGTTTTAAATTTAGTTGCATGTAGTTTATATCTAGCTACAGACACCTGTGTCTGTACGAAGCTCTTACAGGACATAGCATTTGAGCCCAAATGGATTGAAGTATTCTAAACTTCATCGGAATAAGATACTCTAGTTTCAGTGATCTTGTTTTGTTCCGAGTTTTATTTCAATACATGATGATGGCGGCGCTGAGGTAGAGCTTGGATATGCACAATTCACAACAATAACATAAGAAATATTGCTCGAATGATTGAGTCTTTGCCATTATTGATTTGTGTTAACAGTTGTATGATTTTATTTTACTTTTTAAATACTGAGTATAATAAGACATTGACTCTCCACTATGGTCTATATAGGTTGCCTAACCTAAATGAGTAGGCGTTTTTTTGAAGCCTAGTTTGCCCAAGGAAATCGTCCTGTATTCTTCTACAAAGATGATAAGATGCATGTCACGATAAGAGGTCACGTTATATTGCCCCCAGTAGGGTATGGTGAAGACCCTGGCGGCTACAGGGAGGAAGACAGAGAAAGAAGCTAACGTTACGTATGTCGTTTGTCTGGAGCCATTATCTCTATCACGGTGAATGTTTGGTAGGAAACTATCAATTTCTTCCCACATGGATTTGGAATCAAAAGACATTGATGAAAATAATTTTGAAACGAGTCAATGAAAAATGTGTGATGGAAAGCGTGAACCATGGAAAACGTTGTCAATCCACATCCCATTTTTCATCATTCTTGTCTCCGAACAATGTTGTTGTATCAATTGACTTGGTCAAGTTTCTATCTTGTTTGCGAGTGAACAGAGGCATGTGAAATCCCTTAATTTCTATGGGAGGCTGGAAACCTCCTGTTTGTTTGTTTTAAACGTTACTTCGAAACGAGTGGGGTCTTTGGATGTGGAATAGAAGATAATGGAGACGAAAGAGATCAGAATTATCTCTGTAATTCAGCTTCCTTTATTTTCCATTTGAAGACGGTAGTGTCAAGCTTTTGTTCTGATCCAATAAAATGAAATCAAGCTTCTTCTGTTTACACAGATCCCTCAATTAACAAGAATTAATATCCACACTTTTTTTTTTTTTTTAATTGAGATTGCGGCTTGAAGCCTTATAAAACACTTATATCAGTCGAGTTAGTGTAGATTCAACAAGGTTAAAACACAATATGATCTATCAAAATGATTCATAAACTTATTAAAATAATATTTTGTTTTATTTTTTAAAACGATCCAAAAATACAATAAAAATATTTTGAAATAAAAAAAATCACAATGTCCCATACAAGGCAAAGGCAAACCATAAAAAAAAATAGCAAAATTCTACATCAATAAAATATTGAGAGATGAAAAAAAATATATAATAAAAAAGGATTCAAAACAAAAGGAAATAAAAATAATAAGAACTAAATTTGATATAAAAATAATTTGAAATTAAATTTTAGAAAATAAAATTAAAAACAGTGAGAAACTTCCAACGCCGCCTTTATATTGATTTGATGACTAATGAATGAGTGGGTAACCAACTTTTGACTTGGTGACAATCATTATCTTCTCTTGTCTGCCCAAAACGTCATTGATAAAGTCAAAGTTGGAGTCACTTGAAAACATGAAAGTTGTAGGAAATTGTCTCAGATTCGTATATAAAGAATTCAGCTCATTTCAACTTCTAAAACTCCAGATATGGCCAAAATACTAAACAGTGCTCGGGCTGGAGGACACATTCGGGCTTCTTTGTTGTTGCTATAATTTGGACTTGAAAATGACCTTTTTAGATCTTAGGCTCCATATGAAAGTTACAGGCCTATGTCTTACATTTCCATCCATATAAAGTATACCTAAATCTAAAATCTACAGCTCCAGATATGACCCAATTACCGAACAGTATTCCAGTTTGGATTACACTGACATCTCTTTTCTAAGTTTGGCCTTCCAATTTCAGTTCTTAAATTCATCAATCAATCCTTTCATTTATGTGATAAGCCTGCATTTGAAATGAATATTTACCATAAATTAAAGGTATCTTATATTATTAGATATATTATTATAAAATATGCTTTAGTTAAGGAGTTATTGATACTTTAAGTGCAAAATGATGATATAAAACCTTGATAAAAATACACTTTTAAGTATCAATCAACCACCAAGATAAAAAAAAAAATAAGCTTTTTTATTTCATCACAACTACTAGCTTTGTTAGATAAAATCACAGTTTATATAAGAATCCTTAATCAAAAGGATTTGTTTTAAATTAGTTAATTATAATTCTTGTTTAACATGTTAGTTACATTTCTTATTAGATTACATTTGTTAGAGGTTGTAATCTTCCTATAAATATAGAGGCCAATATATGTTAAATTTGAGAGTGTTAAACAACTAATAAACACTTGAAATGTTTAAATACTTTTGTGTTTTATTTCTAATAAGTTTTATTATTCATCTCATAAGCAGTGGTTGTTTTAGTCACCTTATTCATAATACATATCATAACGAGGCCAACAATGACACTAACATCCTTTATAGTTTAGCTTTATGAATCATTGAAGTAAGTATGGATTATAACATCATTCTTTAAACTAAAACTAAGGCATTCCTCAACATGCTATATGAGAACCATTAAAAAAATTCTTTGGCAATAAAGTAGAAGCTTTATATTTGATCCAACAATTGATATAATATTATAAGACATTTTATATGCAGCCTTCATGTCTAATATATCCATAGATGCTTCTACCATACTAGAGCATTGAAGCCTAAGACAATAACCTATATATTGACTACGAGTGATTAGTACTTAAAAATGTATTTTTGTCATGGTTTTATATCATCATTTTGCACTTGAAGTATCAATAACTCCTTAACTAAAGCAT